GCATGGCGGCCTCGTGCCATTTCGGTACACCTCTCACACGGACCGAGGCCCCCTAGGGAGCTCCACCGAAGGCCCCAATGGCAGGGTTCGCATGGCGGCCTCGGGTCATTTCGGCACACCCCTCACGAGGACCGTGGCCCCATAGGGAGCTCCACCGAAGGCCCCAGCGGCAGGGTTCGCATGGCGGCCTCGTGCCATTTCGGTACACCTCTCACACGGTTCGTGGCCTCAAAGGGAGTTCCACCGAAATCCCCAGTGGCAGGGTTCGCATGGCGGCCCCGCCCCATGTCGGCACGCTCCTCACGCGGGTCGTAGCAGCATAGGGAGCTCCACCGAAGGCGGTGCCCACCACGCGGCACCCTCAACTGCATACGGTTGGGTTCTTCGCCAGGGTATATATATATATACGCATATACATATGTAGGAGGGAGGAGGAGGTGGAGGAGAAGGGCAAGGAATGAGGAGGACAGGGAGGAGGAGGTGGAGGACACGCTCAAAAAGGAAGAGGAGGAGGAGGTGGAGGATGCGTCGCTCTGCTCGAGCACCTGCGCTTCGCGCTCGAGGTCCTAGAAATGGCCCGCGTGGTCGCGCGGCCTCACGGCGCAGCGAGCAACGCTGTAGCGATGCTCAGCGCATCTGCAGGGCCCGCCCGCGCCCGTCGTCCCACGGTTTCTCCGCGTCGCGCCAGCCCGCCTGACCGTCCCACGCGTGAGACTGCACCGACGACTGCGCCTCCCACCTGTGCTTCTCCCCCGGCACCATGCGGATCGACCTGCCCTTGTAGTCGCGGCCGTGCAACTCGCCGCCGTTCGTTTTGAACAGCGCCGTGGTCTTGAGCACCGCGTCCGTCAGCTTGGGGCCGCCGACGCCCTTGCTGGTGCCGCCGAGGCAATTGAACTGCACGATCATCATGTTGTTCGGCCAGTAGCTCACGTTGCCGTGCCAGTCGGTCACGCGCCACTCGTTCGAATTCGAACGAGACATGTACATGGCGTAGTTGTGCTGCTCCTCGGTGTGCATCAAGGTCTCGAGATACGGCGACGTTCCAAACGTCGACTCGTTGATGTAGTCGTACACCGCCAGGGTGCTCTGCATAAACGCTGGCGCCGCCATGGCAACAGTTGGAGAGCCCAGGACAATTCGCAGACAGAGAGCAGCGGCCCCGCTGCTCGAGCCCAAACTTGGCTACGGATGTACCCCTACACATAGGGGCACGTCCACCAACAGCTCAATGGTCAGAGGGGCGAGAGGAAGAGGGACGAGGGGAGGGGGGACGAGGAGAAAGAGGGATGAGAGGAGGAGCAGGTTTTTATCATTATTATTATTATATATATGTGTATGCATGTATGTATGTATGTATGTATGTATGTATGTGTGTATATATATATATATATATATATATATATATATATATATATATTGGGTGGGCTCCATGGAGAGCCCTTTGGCCACTTGGAGCCGTCCTTGGGCGGTCCTGGGCCCTCTTGGACCATCTTGGAAGCCACATTGAGCGACGCGCGCACGCACGCCAACACGCACACACACACACACACACACACACACACACACACACACACACACACCGCCCACCCGCCCGTCTCAGAAACGGGGGTCGGGAGAGGAAGCGATCTAGGCCGCCTACGCCCAGGGCTGGGGGGTTGACTGAATCACATGGGCGCGCATATCCTCTGCCCCCCCCCCCCCCCCCCCTTGCACCCCCCCCCCCCCCCCCCCCCCCCCCCCCCCCCCCCCCTCTTCTATGGCATATCCTCCGCCCCCCCCCCCCCCCCCCCCCCCATCCACTCCAATTGGCATGCCCCCCCCCCCCCCCCCCCCCCCCCCCCCCCCCCCCCCCCCCCCCCCCCCCCCTCACCCATCCGTAGCAGCGGCATTTTCCGCACCATGGCCCACGACGCAGCGCAGAAGCGTTTGAGACTGCAGTCCGCGCTGCACACAGGCGGGATATAGCTGGATGGGTTAGCGCGGATTGTCGCGAAACTCGGTTGCGAGCCTGTCGGCGATAAGAAGCTTCGCGCTATAAACCACGAGTTGTTCGAGAGGGCGAGGTTCGACGTCGATCTGCGCTTGACAACTGGCGAACCATAGCGATGGGAGGTTTGCCAGCCCGCGCTCGTTCTCCAGGAGATGGCGGCTGCCTCGGGCGAGTTGCAGACGTGTTTCTCGAATGCTTTCTCGAGGCGCCCGCGCTCGATTGACAGACCTTGGAGCATGGTCATCGGCTTAGACGGGCACACGGCTGGCGACCAAAAAAAAGCCGACAAAACAAACGAAAAACCATGGTTATTTCTGTCAATGTTTTAGAGCTCGGGGGATCAGTTTTGAGCCACGAGGCAACCTGGATGACCTTCGCTGCGATTCGGGATCACATCATAGCAAAGGTCGAGGGCAAGTGGCCCAGCTTGTTCGCAATACTTCTGCGTGAGATCCTGCTTGGCCCCCTGTCCTTCAGAGACGCGGGCGCGGCGTTGAATGCGCTCGACCAAACGCGCCTGCTGTTCGCAACGGTGAAAGGTGTTTTAACCGACCTCGACGGCCACAGGATGACGTTCGACTGGACGGGCGCAAGCCCCCACAAGCCATGCATTTTGTTGCGGCAATTGTTGGAGGAAGGATTCACACCTCATTCCAGGGTGCAACGATATATCTTGTTCAGATTTCTCGAAAATTCGGTTGCGTGATCACGAGGACATGGCTGCAAATAGGGCTGTCGTTTTGGCGGCGAAAGCGAGACGTGACGCTGGGGCCATGGGCGTTGGGGATTTCAAGGAGCTCATTCAGGGCGTCGGCTTCAACCCAAACCCACTGGGCCTTCTAGCAGATGAGGCGCTGTGCGGCATCCTCGACGCATCTGACATCATCCGCGCAGGCTGGGCGCACCATGATCTACAACAAGGCGCATTTTCTTGGGAGCACACGGCTTACGTGAGGGCGCGCGAGAGCAAGCTGGGAATTATGTTCGGGATGTGGGGTGAGTTGGTGAAGGCTGATCAGACATTCCCCTTGTCAATGGGCGTCAAGATCAGCCAAGTCTACGACGCATTTTCCGCATCCTCCGAGGGGGAGTCGAAGACCCGGTGCAAGGCAGGTGATTACATATCCTTGTATGTTATCATGCGGCATTGTGTCGAATGCTGACTGCTCGACATCCCTGGCCTTGAGGGGGGGAACGAGTCTTTCAGCGCAGCATGTGCTGTCTTGGACCTCGTCCTCGAGGCTAAGAGGGCCCCGCAGACTGGGCTCGCAGCCATTCTCAATGAGCCCAGGGCCGCTCTTCGCGCACGCATGGATAGGCACGCAGCCGCATACGGCGGCAAGAGGTATTTACTTCCGAAACACCGCGCCATGATGCATATTCCAAATCAAATTTGGAAAGACAGCTTTGTAGCCAACATGTTCGTTGTTGAGCGCCTAGATATTCGCGTCAAGCAGTCCGCAGAGAACAGCGTCAGGAACACAGAGCGGTACGAGTACTCTGTCCTCTCGAACTTGCTGACGAGGCGCCATAATGATTTGACCGATGGTGCGCAATCCCTCCGCGAGGGCCTTCGCGGGTCTAGAAAGGAATTGCCAGGCTATCCAAATGCGGAGTTGGGTCATGGCGCCTGGGAGGACGGTCGCGAGTTGCACGTTCACGACGTGGTTTTGGTCGGGGGTGGCGCTGGCCTCGCGTCGGCCTGCGTCTGTGAACGCGGGGCGCTGCACGCTGTCGTCAGGAAATTGCTGCCCACTGGCAGGCGCGCCCGCTCGAGCAGATGGTTTTCGCTTTCGCGGGAGATGATGGCAGTTGGCACGCGCGAAGCTCACGCGGCCCACGCGTGGCACCGCGATGGGGGCGCCTATGTGGCGCTGGTTTAAAGAGCGCACGGCCTTGCCAATGTGTATATATATGTATGCCTTGAAAACATCAAACGGGGATGCGAACGACGAAAACGACGACGACGACGGCGACCAGGTATGCGGCGCTTCCGCTGAAACGAACGCTCTCCTTCCTCCTCCTCTCTCCCCCCCTCCTCCCCCCCACCATCATCCTCTGACCATTGAGCTGTCGGTGGGCGCGCCCCTATGTATAGGGGTACATCCGTAGCCAAGCGTGGGCTCAAGCAGCGGGACCGCCGCTCTCTGTTTGTGAGTTGCCCTGCAGTGGGCTCTCCAGCTGTCGCCATGGCGGTGCCGCTGCCAGAGTTCATGCGGCGCGCCATGACGGTGCACGACTACATCAACGAGTCATTGCCAGACACGTCGCCGCATCGAGAGACTCTGATGCACATCGACGATCAGCACTACTACGTCATGCACATGTCTCGTTCGAACCTGACAGACTGGCACGGCTACGTGGGCTACGGGGCGAACAACATGATGGTCGTGCGGTTCAATTGCCTCAGCGGCGCGAGCCAGGACGGCGGCCCCAAGCTCACGGACGTTCCGTTCAAGAAAGACCACGGTGCCGTTCAAGAACGGCGAGGAGTGGCACGGCCATGACTGCAAGGGCAGGTCGACCCGCATGGTGCCGAAGAAGAAGTACAGGTGGGAGGCTCAGTCGCGGGCGCAGTCCCACGCGCGGGACGACCAGGCGGACTGGCTCGACGTGGAGAACCCGTGGGACGACGGCCGCGGGCGGGCCCTGCACACGTTGCGCTGAGCGCATCGCTGCAGCGTTCGCTGCGCCGTGAGGCCGCGCGAATACGCGGGCCACTTCTAGGACCTCGAGCGCGAAGCCCAGGTGCTCGAGCAGAGCTACACGCTCAGAGTTTACCTCCTCGTCCTCCTCCTCCTCCTCATCCTCCTCCTCCTCCTCCCCCTCGTTGAGCGTGTCCTCCACCTCCTCCTCCCCCTCCTCCTCCTTCCTTGCCCCCCTCCTCCACCTCCTCCTCCCTCCCTCCCCAGCCCGAGCCTTGAAAACGTCAGGCGGGGACGCGAACGACGAACGCGACGACGACGACGACGACCAGGTCAGCGGCGCTTCCGCTGAAGCGAACGCCGGCGACCAGAAGCGGCGCTTCCGCTGAAACAAAGCGACGACGACGACGACGCCGACGACCAGAAGCGGCGCCTCCGAAACCGACGACGAAAACGACGACGACGACGAGGACGACGACGACGACGACGACGACGAGGACGACGACGACGACGAGGACGACGACGACGGGAGATTGGAATATGGGGGTGAGGCAACCACCGCTGAGCATTTTTGGGGCTACATAGTAAGTCCCATACGTAAGATAAGTCGCACATAAGTTAGATGGTAAGTCCGATAAATATCGGCAGCGTCAGAAGTTACAAGTAGCCGAAGTGCAGAATGCGTCCAATATGCGCGCTAGGTTAGTTGGGCCGCCTGCGACCAAGCTATCCAACCTATGCGATTACATCATCATCTGAGCGAGTGCAACGCTACTTGTGGGTGTAGAACGCGCCCTGATCAGCCGTTAAGCGAATGCATGTATATTTGTATAACTGTATCTGGCGCAAGAGCGCCGACCGATATCAGGCGTCTCCAGACCAATGCCGCGGCACCAAATCCAGAGCTCCCCATTGAAAAGCTGGCAGTGGCGGCACAAGTCGGCCCACTGCGCCCCCCGCTCCACGCGGAGGCTCAAAATCCTGAGTTCCAACTCTTCCCCTCCATCCCCCAATCGCGGCGGCGCGAAGAGGAGGGGTGCAAGGCCCGGCGCGGGCCCTGCCAGTCGGCACCGCCGGGGTGGAGCGGAGCGACAGGACGACGTCGAAACACCAACCCTCCTCGCCAGACTCCGTCACGATGTGAATTCCAGCATGCATTGGCATGGCCTCGCGGGAGCGGGATGCCCTTGGGCCCGCCCCGGCCGGCCGTTTCCCGGCAGCCCACGCGCATCCTCTACGTCGCTGCTGACGGCGATGCCCACGAGGTCCTGGCCCACCTGCAGCGTCTGCCCGTCGAGCGCGGCGTGAACTTTGCGCACGTCGTCACGTGGGCCCAGGAGCAAACGCACGCGACCTGGCGGGTGCATCGCGTCCTGCGTGGCTAAGTGGATGTACTCCCCCAGGCGGGCCTCCCGATCGTAGTCCGTTTCCTGCAGCTGCAAGCCCGCCGACTGGATCAGATGATCCATCAGACGACGTACCACTGCTCCGTCCTCTCGGCCCACCTCTCCAAGGATAGACACATCCGTGAGGAAGTCGCGATGGGCATTGTTGCCCTGGCCCCTGCGACGAGCGGCCGCGAGAGCCTGTGGGACAGCCGACGTATGGGCAACAGTGCGCCATCCATACCGCGAAGGCTTCCATTTCAGACGCGCCCCCACATCCGTGGAGTCCTCCTGGCACGTGGCATCCATGGTCGAAGTCCACGTGTCTGCCGTCGCCGATGTGAAAACCAGGAATCGGCCACGATCAAAAAACACCATCTGGGAGCAGAGACGCCAGTACGATGCCAGCTCGGGGACCCCCCCGTCTCGAGCACCAGGGCGTCGGGTGCCGCATACATGGTGTTCATGCCGTAGAAAGCGTCAGCCGGCAGCCAGCTGCCGCGGAGCCGCTCCAGGGTCAAGAGCACGTCCAGGTCCGGAAGCGTCTCCGGAAAGAGGACCTCGAGGTGCAGGCGCGGCCGCTCGCCTGCGGCCGGCAGAGCACGCCCAAGGAGGAGAGCTCCATCAGCAGGCGAGGTAAGGACTCGACTGGTATGTCCATGTGGACCGTGCGGACCGCGGCGAGCTGCAGGAGAGGGGCTGCAGGCCTCAGGAGCTGAGGCGCTACTCGTGGGCCCTCGTGGCGCAGCGTGAAGATGGCTAAGCCGGCTTTGACATGCCGGGGACCGCCCTGGCCGGGCAGGACCATCTCCAGGGGGGCGTTCACCACCTGGCAGCAGCGGAGGAGCGAGGCCCACTTTGCTCCCAGCAAGGGGTGCCACCAGAGATCCATGACCCCTGACATCGACGACATACCCGGCAGAAGCGGCACTGACGCCACCATCCTCACGGAAAGCGGGCGTTGCGTCGCATCCGCAATCCGGAGACCCGCGGCTAGGCAGCGGGTGAGGGCGTTGGTATCCGAGGGAGCCCACAACACGATGCGGCGACCAGCAGCGTTCTGCCAGAAGCGGGCGTCCCCCTTCTCCGAGAGCGCAGCGATGTCCCGGGACGCGCGAAGCACCTGGGCCGCACTGCCCGGCTGCAAGGCCTTCACGACGCCGAGTACGTCCGACCACTGGGTGTAGAGGAGCTCGTCGTCCCCCGGGGCACTGTCCTGGAGAAGTTGGCACGCAGCCTCGCCCAGGGCCTTTTGGATGGCGGGTAGCTCGTCCTGGCAATACCGCACAGCGCAGTCCAACGACTCGATGAAGTGCGCCACCCGATTGAGGTCCTCAGCCGCCCAAGTCGCAGGAGTCGCCAGACTTCCCAGCAGGCGTGCCGTCCGGGCGCGTGCGGCCAGCATCTCCGGCGTGGGGTCCGGGCCCTCGTACATGGCCAGCCCGAGCCGGCGCCAAGGGTCTGGCGTATCAACGTCGTAAGCCAGCCTCTCGAAGATCCGTTGGAGAGCTGGCCAGTCTGTGGGGTAGTCTACGATCAGCTGCGCTGGGGCGGGGGCGATCAGCTGCCCGGCGCGCACCAGGTCAAAGTGCTGCAGTACCTCCCGCTCCACGAACTCCTTCAACAATTCGCCGGGCAGGCGCACCGTCGGAGTGACGACCCCGACCGTCGAGCCCGAGGCCGCAGCAGCTGCTGGAGGAGCCAGCCCAGGAGGCGGAAGGACGGCGGGAGCGGCCGCCAAAGATAGTTCTGTGAATGGCTGCGTCATCCCGCTGCCCTTCCATCGAGACGTCCCCCATGCTGTTGATGTTGTTCCGATCGACGCCGGGCATGTTCTGCACCTCAGCGTTGTGCGCTAAGCAGAAGGCCGAGCCCGGGACCGCCTCGCCCTCCACGCCGCGGCGCACGCACATCTGGCAAAACGGCATTGCAGCTCAAGTATTGCAATAGCCCACCAAAGAAAAAAAAACACCACACGTCCAAATTATAGTCAGCCTTATATCCCGCTCAAGGCGGTGGATGACGAAGTAGACCGGGTACGTGAGGTGCTCAGTCCCAGCCCGTTGCCCCTTGGGAAGCAGGGACCCGCGAAGGTGGTACCGCCTGGCACGAATTCTCAACCGCCTGGCACGAATTCTCAACCGTGGCACGAATTGGCAACGTTATGATACCGCCTGGCACGAATTCTCAACCGTGCGTGAAAAAAATGCTTGCGGAGGAAATACTGTGCCTACTCGGTGGTGGGCATGGGTCTACAGAAAGGCATCAAGAGCGGCACGGGCAGCGATATCGCGATCCAACCCCACGTAGGCTCCATAAGAGCGAGAGTAGAATGTCAAGACTCGTCGTCGTACAGAAGCCTCCTCCACCGTCCTAGCAGGTTCTGGACGCTTGGGATCCAGGGGACGGCTAAAGACTTGAACGCAAGACAGCGTTTCGTGAAGGTCGTCAGGCCCCCCACAGCGGAAACAGCATCCTCGGTCCACGCAATGAAACCTGACCGAGGCGCACACCCCCATGGAAAGCACCCTGAGGACGCCAATGGGAAGGTGGGTGCACGTAGCCTTTTCAAGAGCCCTGAGCCGTGACCGAAGGAGAAATTAAAAAAGGCATATCAACTTCCATAAGCCATCGCCCGAAACGAACCTGCAAGTCGATCAAAGGGGACATCGGTGCTCGAAACCCTCGAAGATACTTGTGCACACTACACTGGATCTTCCCGCCGGTCCGCTGAACGTTGGGAGAGAGAGAGAGAGAGAGAGAAACAGAGACAGAGACGGAACAAACAAAATGTCAGCTGCATCTTCACTGGTGCATCTAGTCATCGAATTTCTCTAAGGAGTAGAGGAAGAGGAGGAAAGGGAGAAGGAGGACGAGAAGGAGGACCCCCCCTGGCGACGTCGGCGCCGCCAGGGGGGTGCCCAGCGCCGATCCAAGAAATGCGCGTGGAGATCCGAATGTATCTGATTGCGCAGATGTTCTGTCTTCGAGAAGAGGGAACCGAGGAGGAGGTGGAGGAGGAGGACGACGACGACGACGACGACAACGTCAAGGATGTGCAGGGAGCACAGCAGGCTCTGCGCAGCCCCAGGCAAGGTCGCCGACAACGGCGACGCCGACGACGCCATGGCCGTGCCCAAGGCCTTGGCCACCGCGTCGTGCAGCCCGTCGGGGGTCGCCCCGCCCTCGAGCAGGGCGGTCACCGCGTCGCCGTTGAGGTTCCGCGTCGCCTCTCCGCGCGGCGGGGCCGACGCCGCCACCGAGGTCGACGACGCGCGGCGGGGCTGAGGGGAACGTTGGGTGGGGGGGCAGCTCAGGGGGGGGGAACATCGAGCTGGAAGCAGCGATACATCGCCGATAGATCAGCGATCGGCCCCCAATGGTAAATCCAGACGGTCCTGCGCGGGGCGGGCTATCCGGCCCCTGTCGGTGATCAGCCGATCGAGAATCGATGCACCCCCCTTGAACGCAGCTCGCAAAGGTGGCTTGGTGATGCGCGGGCTTCAAGGAGATCAGAGTGTCAGAAGGGTTTTGGAGCGAGTTCGAAAACGGACAAAGTTAGCCAGCGTGGAACCCTAAAGCAATGAGATTCTAGCACGCTATGTGGTGCAACCTATGTGGTGCGATAGATGTGGTGCACCCTATGTGGTGCAAGCTATGTGGTGCAATCTACGTGGTGCTAGATATGTGCTGTAGGCTATGTGGTGCCATCTATGTGGTGCTCAAATCCGCCGACCCCTTGTGGGTCTCTAGGCATGTGAGATTATTCCCCCACATAATCCCCAAACCGGGAATTCGACCCCCCCCGGCCCGGCACGACCCCGGACCGAACGCGGCATGGGGGGGCCGAGGGCCCCAAAACGGGTCAAGAGGGGACTAAGACGCCTCCCAGACGGTCCAAGAGGGGCCAAAGGTCGCACCAAGACGCCCAAGATGGCCCCAAGACGGCCCTACAGGCCGCCAAATCGCCCCAAGAGGCGAAGACCGCTCCAAGACGGCCCAAGAGGCCCCCAAGACAGCCCAAGAGGGCCTCAAGACGGCCCAAGAGCCGCCCAAGACTGCCCAAGAGGCTCCCAAGACGGGCCCAAGAGAGGCCCAGGAGGGGGACCAGGATCTGAAAGATCTAGCCTTCCGCCCCAAGACGGTCCCAGGAGGCCCCAAGCAGCCCAAAGAGGCCCCAGGAGGCCCCCAAAACGCCTCAAGAGGCTCCCAAGAGGAGGCCCGATGAGACCCCAAAACGGCCCCCAATACGCCGCAAAACTGCCTCCCAGAGGCCCCCGACAGGTCAACCATGAGATCCCAACCAACACACATGAAGTCTCTGACCCACCACCGTGTGTAACTACTCTCTGGAGCGCGGACCCGACTGTGCTACGGGGACACTCCAGAAGCCTACGAATGAACACGACGAACGCTCCAGACACCCGCGCACCGAGAATGACCGAGAACGCGACAACAATCCGCCGACAGCGTGGGCTGTCACCACCGTAAGAATTATCTCCCCCTCGCCGAACCCCTTCCCCAGGAACTCCCAGCGATCTCCACAAGACCTCCCCTGAGGGCTCCAAGGAAAAACCATCGCGAGAATCCCTCGGGAACACAACCATTGCAGCATTTCCGCCGCGCTGGTCTTTGGAACGTCAAAAAAGAACGCAGGAATCAAGGGGACGGCGGATATGGCGCAAGCCTGCAGAATCTAAATGGTGCCAAATTTGCAATGCAACACATGTGGTGTAAACTGTGCGGTGTAATTTTTGTGAAGCTAACGATGTTGCGTGGTGTCAGCTATGCAGTGGGATCTACGTTCTCTAAACAGCGTTTGCACTTTAAATAGTCTTAGTTGTGTTCCACAGAAGTGGGCCTGTGCGCCAATCCGGCGGCTGTGGTGCCGCCGTCGCCGCCCCGTCGCCGCGTCGTCGCCACCCGACGTCTGGTGTTGTGCGTCGGTCTGGCGGCTATGTTGCCGCGGTCGCGTTGCCGTCGCCGCCTCGCTGAAATCGCATCACATGAATTACACCGCACTGATGGCACCGCAGAGATTGCTCAAAATACATGTCCTTCCTTCAAGAATCACAGGATCTCTCCCCCCGGAATTAACGGCCCTTCTCTTCGCATTGCAAATTAGTTGCGATTCTGCCCCGTCGTCCATCCTAAACATGAATTCGTACCATCCCAGGAAGGCCGGCATCGGCCACCCCCTCATCTTCTGCCCAAAAAAACGCACACACCTGTTCATCATAACCCATCAATTCCCATGGATTCCTTATAAAAATGAGACGAAGTGCACGCGCGCGCGTCGTTGCGCGCGCATCCCGAAATCCTTCACAAACCATGGGTTTTCACAAGGATTTCAAAATCGAGTGTCCCGAGAACAAATAAAACACATCGTTCCCCAACAAGAATGTGCAAACTTAGCCTGACGAAGGACCCAACCATATGCAGCTGCGAGTACCTGGGACGCACGTGGAAGACGCACCCCTTGGAGGCATGCGGTGGGACGCCGACGCCGACGACGACGACGACGATCAGCCGCGGCCGCACGCGCCGCACGGCGGCGGCGGAACCGCCGCGGGTGGCCCGGCGGCCGCGGGCGGCCCGACAACCGCCGAACCCGCGGCGCGGGCGGCCGACGCCCACCATAATGTCCTGTCGTTCTGAAAGAATCTCGGCTGTGTGCAAATGCTCTGCCTCTAGCGGCCCACGCCGGGCCTGGTGACCGTCAAAAAAAAAACTCGGGATGAACAGCCCGCCCCAGGAAAACGAAAATAACGGAGTCACGAAAAAACTGCCGGGTGGTAGTAAACAAACCTCGACGGGAGACCTGGACACCATCCTCCTGCAGCATTTCTCGAGCCGGGTCGACTTGTGAGGATCCCGGGGCCCGAAACAAGGCAAGGTCGCACGGTGTGAAAAAATGCGACGCCTGGATCTAAGCGGGGGAAAAATCATGGCGGAGGAGGAATGTATCCTCCTCCGCGGGAAAAAATATGAAATGCAGGCAAATCCACACCAGAACGATCCTGCGGCGGCCGTGCGGTTTGTCTGGCCCTGGCGTGGCGCACTGCGTGCAGCTAGCGAGAAACGTGCTTGCTTGGTAAAGCACTCTTGAAAACTGCTGTGGCAGGCCCCTTCCGCTCCAAAGGCCTATTCAAGGAATACAATAATTGATCAGCGAAGAAATATAAGTTAGTTGTCCCATGTGTGTGCATTAGCGCGGTGTCCCCCCTTAGGGCCCTCCAGTGCGAATGGCAACGGAGGTCGCCCCACCGGGGCAAGCGAATATCGCTCGCTCCATGGCGAAACAACGGCCCACGGAAGCGTGCCGCAAGGCCGGAAGGCGGAGTCGAAATCGCTCGCCACCTCGCAGATACTGGGCCCAAAGCATTCGCGGCGCCCGCGAAAAGCGCGGGCGCCATGTCGACGACCACGAAGGGCCTCCCAAAAAATGTACCCTTGAAGACCGATAGGGGTCAAAGAATCACCCGGGCCCCGAGGTGGCCAAGAAGATTTACCCTGGGAAAGCGCAACAATCACGCACAACCTTCGGATAAACTCTTCAGGGGGTCGGTCGGCCAAATCGGCCCCGCCCGATCGGACCCTCGCGAGTCGCCAACAAAGCCGGGCGGGCGCTCCCGCGCAGGTCCCGCCACCGACCCAAAGGCCAGGTCACGTCAGGTAAGCCTTGCAGCAGACGGTGCGCGAGCAGGGGCGAGACCAGCTCGGCGGTCGCGCTAAAGTTACTCAACACAGGAGGAGGGGGACGAGAGGAGGACGAAGAGGACGAAGGAGGGGAGGCGGCCCCGGCACGGAATGCCTTCAGCATCCGTGCCAGCCTTTGACAGCGTGCTCCCACGCGCGAGCTGCACCGCCCTCTGGGCGGAAGTAGGCAGCAAGTCGCTCGCGCGAGCCAACGGCTTTCGGACAATTGTCCCAAACTACTTTGCCCAGCGTCCAGCGAGGTCTGCCTCGACGTCTGGGGCCTGCGGCCCCACGGACGACCGGCAAGTCCAGCTCAAACACTGAAGCTCTGACAGGGTCCGCCCATGGTCGGCGCGCAAGCTGGCCCATGAAGATCATCTGTTGCCCGGCGAGGCAGTCGCTCAGTTTGGACGGGCTGGATATGCTCAAGACAGCGGCGCTCGAAATCAGGCTGACGAGTGACGGCCGTATCCAGGATATCCTTCACAGGCATCTACTCTGAAAGATGCCCCATATACGTCGCTCTGCCTTGTTAAGGCATGACGCAACAAAAACTACCCGCATCAACATCGACACCACGCACGCGTTGAACATCCTCACCTTCTGCTTCCCCCTTAAGACAGAATGAGACCAAATACTGCGCAAAATCTGAAAATCACGTTTTGCATTTCGAGTCCCCCCGCTTAAAAGCAGCGCCCATTCTTCCGCCCGCAAGAAAAAATGCACCAAGTAACCCAGCGACTCCTTGGCGACAACGGGCTGGCCCAAATTGTTCATCGCGTTGTCATTGGTCCAGAACTCCATCACTTCAACCATCTTCCAGTTGGTTCTCCTTTCTAAAACAAAATATGATCTACCCCCCCCCAACGTTATCACCCCCCCTTTCGGGTATGTAAATCATATATGATTCTGACCACGTGTCCATCCTGAATAAAAATTTACACTATCCCAAGGGGGCCGGGTTCCCCCCCCTGAGGTTCCCTTGGAGGAAAAAAACTATGCAGTGACATGTTTTGTTCTAACATAGCACTTTTTTCGCGAATCCCTTGCAACAAATGGGACGAAGTGCGCACGCGCGCGTTGTCGCACGCGCATGCCGAAATCCTTCAAAAACCCCCGGTGCCGGAAGGATTTCGCAATCGAGTTTCCCCCCCCCCCCAAAAAAAACATACAAAAACACATGGTTTCGCAACACCGATTTGCTAAAAAAGCTTCCGCGCGAGCTCTTGCGAAATTTTAAGAAAACCACGTTCTCTTTTCAAGATTTTCACACAATGTTATTAAACAGGCTTCGCGCGCGCGCATGTCGAGATCGGTCGAACGCCCTTGCGCGTGTGCCGTCGCAAAAATCCTTTGCAAAAAATGAGACGAAGTGCGGACGCGCGCGTCGTCGCGCGCGTATGCCGAAAACCTTCACAAAACCCATCGGTTTCGGAAGGATTAAAAAAAAAATCGTGCCCAAAAAACCTACAAAAACACAAGGTTTCGCAGCACGGATTTTCAACAAAAACGTGCGGGCGCGCGCTCTTGC